ACAAACGAACCACCACCCACACCCAACAACTACCCCCTACCCTCCCCGACGAAATAATACTAACTATCCGACTAAAAAGACAAATACAACGACGTTTCTACAAACACAGACGCGACGAAGACAAAAAAACTTTTAAAACAGACCCAAAGACAAGGACACCGACTTCTTCAAAACTACGAGACAAACAAATACAACGACTTACTTAACGACAAAAGCAGCCCCAATAATATATAAAGTGATAAAGGCAGTACGAGACACCCCAACCCGAATTTCCCGCATTTACACAACCCAAAACTCCCTAACCTTCGACCCTCAAATCCTAGACGACACCTTTGCCCAAACCCTGGCCGACTGTTTCCGCGACCCCAACATCCCTATTCCCCAAAACGTACTTCTTAACGCCTCGAGAACCTCAACCCTATTCCTCAATCAGCAAACGACTTGGACGACAATCAACACGGAAATTAGACAACTACTGACAATGACTAACCACGAAAAAGCCCCCGGACCGATGGAATACGTCCCTCCCAACTCCGTAACCTCCCGAAAAACGCCATTGATCTCATACCCTCATCCTCAATTCCTGTTTTAATCTCTCTTACTTCCCCTCCATCTGGAAAACAGCCCGTGTGTCCATGATTCCCAAACCTAAGAAAGATCACCACCAACTACAGACCCAGAAGCCTCCCCTCAATACTTAGTAAAACATTTGAAAAAGTGATTCTCCGCCTAACCCCTATCATTGACCTAATCCTAGACCAATCCCAATTCGGCTTCCGCGAGGGTCGCTCAGCGGCCCTCCAAACACTAAACCTAACTCTATCCATAGCTACTCCCCTCCAAGACCGCAAAGAAATCCCCACCATCCTTACCGACCTCACCCAAGCCTACGACACAATATCCCATCCTATCCTCCTAGCGAAAATCCGTCCCCATATCCCTGACCACATCCACTCTCTACTCCAAAACTACCTTACCCTCAGATCCTTCTATGTCCAATATCACTCCAAAAAATCCCCCAACCACCCCATCCAAGCCGGCGTCCCACAGGGCGCCGTGCTCTCTCCACTCCTATTTTCCTTGTACATAAATGACATCCCGTCCACTCCCGGAGTAGAGAAATTCCTCTATGCCGATGATGTGGTATTCCTTGCTTCCTTCCGTAACCTCACCCGCTTTCTACGAAACGTATAAAAATCCCTCGACTCCTTCCACCTTTGGGCCTCCCAAAACTCCATTAACATAAACCCTTCCAAACCCCAAGCCATCCTTTTCTCCTACAAAACCTATCCATCAAACCCACCCCTCTGACTATAAACCAAACTCCTATCCCCTAGCAACCCCATGTCAAATACCTTGGCATTACCCTTTCCCGAAGACTCCTTTGGTCCAAACACGTCCTTAACACAACCATCAAAACCAACCGCATCACAAACGCCCTTTACCCTATCCTGTCCAACCCGTCTATCCCAATCCGGAAAAGAATCCAATAACGCCTATAACACCTACATCCGCCCAACCCTGTCCTACGCCCATCCTACATGGTTTAATACTTCAATAATTAACTATAGAAAACTCACCGTTACCGAAAACAGAGTCATCCGCCTTATCTTCCGCCCCCCTCCGCTAACCCGCTTAAATAATCTAAGAGACATATACAATATGCCCCACATACTCACCTACCTCTATAATTCCTCAGTCTAAACCATACAAAAGTTCATTACCGATCCCCAATTCAGAAACATTATCATTCCCCACCACCATATTCTCTGCAATCCCCCCAGACACACACGGAAAAAACACCCCCTTGATATCCTGCAACTCCCCCCTCCCATTACCTAGGCCAAAGGGGGGACATAGAATAACCGACAAACGACATAAAAACTACGAACTAAACACTGACCCACGACAGACCAAAAAATGGCACGTACCTTTTCCCAACCCCTCCTATTCCCCATCCCACTCCTCTCCTTAATCCATTCCCCTCCCCTTCCCATACTACCAAAACCCCTTAACAAAAAATTACCATATACCTCTCTCCCCGACTCCCAATCCGCGTCCCTGTACGGGGGAGAGGAGTCGCAACGTGCAAAACACAACCGGAAGAAGAAGAAAATGGACGAAGAGTCTCGTAAGAGACAGGCGTGCCAGTAACAAAACACCACAGATCCTTCCTTCCTTCTCCACAATCCTACCAGCCACATTTCAGCATCGGAATTTATTCCGGTTGCCGGGCTAGGACATAGGACTAACACCCTAAATTATCCGTGAGGGTGTGCAGCACTATAATTTCGCTACCAATGACAAAACGCGGTCCAGGTGACGCGTGACGACCTGTGACCCCCACATCAAAAAGAAAACGACTCTTCACTTCGTGGACGCCCGGTCTCCAGTTCAGACTGATGTCGGACATCCGCGCGTGTTCCTGCCGACAACAGGAGACCCCTGCGGCATTTCAACGGGTCCTCTGCTGCCGCTAGTCGGTATTTGGACGTGTAATCTTCTTAGGGTGAAGTAGCATGTCAATCATCACCATTTCTGTGAGATCACGTCCATTTTAATCAATAGCCAGAGCAAAGCACAACAATCGTATGTAAAACACACAATTTACCACCGTAATAAACGTGTCCCCGTCATTTTGGTCCGGTGGCTACACAAAGAAATGAGTATTATTTGTAGTCAGGAAGCAAAAGCAATCCTTCGACCCAGGGCGCTCACCCCTGAGATGTTTCAACGCCGGTGACCAGATAAAAGGTAAGGCAAACGCGTGGCGCCCTCTAAATAAATTCAGCGCGTCCATCTTGGTATCTGGAAGCGTCCGTCGCACCTTAAGTGTGATAGCAATCCCCCCTTATGATAGTGTGACTCACAATGGCGCAGTACATAATTTGGTGTCTGCTTGCGTTGGTGCGTTACATAAATTGGCGTTCAACGTGTGAGGTTGCATCTCAGTATATTACTCTGCACATTACTCTGTAAATTACTTTGTAAATTACTCTGTAATTTACTCTGTAAATTAATCTGTACATAATCTGTAAATTAACCAGTAAATTAATCTGTAAATTACTCTGTAATTCACTCCGTACATTACACCGTACGTATACGAGAACGAAACTAGTGGTGCTAGGAGATAGAGTAATGTTTTAGTTTTCTATTTCCTTTGGACGCGCACAGCTATCCGGACTTGCCACATACTCTTACCAGCTGCCATCCTTTCTCGCCCAAACTACATTTTAAAAAGTCCAATATTTTTGTTTTCTTAATTATAGAACGAAGATATTAATTTAAGAATATTAAAGAATAGTAAAACATGATAAATGGCATTTACTTTGAAAAATTTTGAGTCTTTTGTAAGAAATTGACGTTTATAAAAACGTTGAAAATTTTGTGGCGTGTAATATACGCAGTATAAGGAAAATCATGTAATGCTGCGGAAAATCGATTTTGAGATTTCAACGGAAATACACGCGTTGGGGTCTCCTGATACCCCTAATTTTTTTCGTCCTTCTGTCTGTGAACATCACTAGCGCCTAAACCATACGTGTTTTTTTTTCGAAAAAGGATATTTCCTAAGTCGACCTGACTCTACTCGAGGCGTCGCGATTTCAAAAACTTTTTCAATATTTGGGGGTACTTTACAAAAAGCCTCCCCACAATTTTAAACATTTTCACAAAAACGACTCCATTTTTTTTTGTAAGAATAGAGTAAAATACACTTATACTCGTCATAGGTTTAATTTTCACGGTTGGAAAATTGAAAAATTTTGAATTTCTCCGCGTCTTCCTACAATTGCAAAATTGAAGATAAAGGGTTTATCCTTCATATACAATTTGCTCTTCATAATTAGTTCTTTTATTAAGGTCATTCAAGTTTTTTTCACAATTTTAGTAGTTTCAGAACAAAATTGCGTGTAATATTTGAAATTTTAAAAAATTACAAAAGCAAGATTTTATCACAAACGGCTCTAATTTTTTCTGTAAACATTTGGTTGGGATAGAACCAAATGCACTCTATAAGATGACATTAACGCCATTTTGATCTATTCTTTTGTTTTTGAAAATAGTGTATTTTTTTACTTCTCTGTCACATTGTTAATATTTACAGTAGCAGAAATTTCTTTACATTAATGTATTTATGAGTGCATGTGCTTTAAATATTATCATATTAAGTTTCCTGAAAAGTCAACATTATTCAACGAAAATGAGTTACAAATTCCGCATTTTTAGAAACGCTGAAACGCAATTTTCTCAAGATTCTCTCCAATTTTTTAAAATATTTTCGAACGGGTAGTGCTAATTGCACTGCTTAAGATGATTAATTTTGCTGGGTTCTTTTCTTTTTTCAAAAAAATACACGGAAGTAATTTTTTGAAACATTTCTCACGTCTTTAATATGCATATTTCCATTGTTTTGTATACACTATTGCGTTTGTGGCTGGAAGTGCGTGAAATGACGAGATATGAAGTTTTTCGAAAACTCATGTGAAAAGAGGTTCAAATTTCGAATTTACAGTAGAGCTTAAACGCTATTTTTCTTAAACCAGCTCCAAATGTTACAAAAAAAATTGTTGTTTAAGACGAAATTTTACTGTTCTATAATATTCTTCAAATAATATTTCTATTATAGAATTAGAAAACTGAAAAAAATAGAATTTTTTAAAAAAATGTACTTTGGGCGCTGGTAGATGGCAGCTATAGGAGGAAAGAGAGGAGGGAGGGGAGGGGGAGAGGGGGGACAGGGAGAGAGAGAGAGAGAGAGAGAGAGAGAGAGAGAGAGAGAGAGAGAGAGAGAGAGAGAGAGATGGTGTGGAATGGAAGCGGGGTAAAAGAGGGGCTCACCGCAGATGACGACGAGTGTGAGGAGCTTGTCGAGCGGTAAGTTGAAATTGGCAGTGGAGGTAGGTAAGAAAAGAAAGAAGATAAGTGTGAAGAGTTCATCGCAGATGACGTTGAGTGTGAGGAGCTTGATGAATGGCAAGTCGAATGTAAGAGAGGCTCACCACAGATGACGTAGATTGTGAGGAGCTTGACGAGTGGAGAGTCGAAGGTGGCTCCGCGAGGAGGGGGCAAGAAGAGAGGTGGGGTGCAAGAGGGTCTCACCGCAGATGACGTCGAGTGTGAGGAGCGTGACGAGCGGCACTACGTCGAAGGTGTCGCCGCCCGCGCGCTTCCGCAGCTGCCGCACGAACTCGTCCCCGCAGCTGAGGAAGACGGGCGCGAACTGCTCCAGGATGCGGAAGTGGAACGCTGGCGTCAGCGCCTTGCGCCGCGATCGCCATTTGTCGCCTGCGCACAAGCAAACGCACGTTTAAATGACACAGCAATCTCTTTGCCATTCTCCTAATTTTGTTGCCAGTTACTACATACTTCAGTGTGACTTATTAGTGTACCGCGATCATGGAAATATTGCACGGTCGATGGGCTCTCAATCGCCGAGAAACGGTTCACCGAACTTGTTTGGGAACACTACTCAAGGTCTGGCCCTGCAAAAGGCATGCTTTCCATTCTTGGTAGTCGGATTGTGATGGCTCTCTGGAAATGATCTCTCAACCATAAAGTGTGTATGTACGACGGACATAAAATGTGTCAAACTGTTATGTACAAGATATCCAGGAGCCTTTCGTCCAAATATTGACTAATGAACGTAAGTACGGTCATTTTCAACAGACTCCGCAACCACACACACTACTTCAGTTTCTTCAAGGGGTTGTATTCCTTTTTGGAGACTGAACTATTACAAGTGATTTGTTGCCCTACGCTCTCCTGATCTGACTCCTTCCGCTATATTTCTTTGGAGATTCCTAAAAGATCGCAAATACGCGATAATTCCCCACACTGAAGAACTACTACAGATCTGTGAAATACCACAGAACATTCTTAACCGATTGAACCAGAAGTTGAACGTGAACGAAGATTACTGAATATTATTGACTTAAATATAATTAGTGTTGCAAAGCACATTGTTAATTACGTACGCATCAAAAATGTTCTTTCTATCTTTTTTCTATCTTTCTATCTTTTTTCAAGATAGTCAATGAAAATTATCCCCCGCGCATCCCAAAAAACCGACGCCATGACCTTGCCTGCAGATGGAACGGTCTTCGCCTTCTTTGGTGCGCTTGCGCTGGTCCCTTTTCAGACCATTATTTTGATTGTTGTTTTCTCTCTGGGGTGAAGTGATGAACACATATTTCATCCATGGTTATGAAACGGCGTAAAAATTTTCTGGCCTGTTGCGGTGAAACTTCGCTAAACACTCAATTGAAACATCTTCACGACACTGTGTTTGCTCGAGTGTGAGCTAACGCGGCACCCATCTTGCACACAGCTTTCTCATGTCTAAATTTTCAGATAATATGCAATGTACCGCACTTTTCGAAATGCCTACTATGTCTGCTAGCTCGCGCACTTTCAGTCGACGATCACCCAGTACTGCTTTGTGGATTTTTTCTACCATTTTTGGAGTTGTCACCTCATTTGGTCGACCACTGCGATGCTCGTCTTGGCAGCTCGTACGGCCTCGTTTAAATTCTGCTACCCAATATTTTACTGTAGTAAACGAAGGCGCAGACTCACCCAGAGCAGAATCTAGTTCAGTTTTTATACTGGTTGGGCTGAGGCCTTTCAAATGAAAGTATTGGATCACATAACGATGACCAATTTTCTCCATTTTTACAAGATCACTCACAACGTTCATTATTGATTGTTGTCAAACAAATGCTAAACAACGTAGCGTCTTTAAACTTGAAACATATGCTTTATAGATTGTCTACTTTCTAATACAGTGTTATTTTTCGAAACACTACCACGATCTCTAGGTCAGGTTGGGTACTTCTGGGACCACCTCCGTACAGCGAAAAATCCAATTTTTAAAGGGTTGTACACGACCTTATTTCAAAATCTATAAGGAACAGATTTTATCCTGGAAAAAATATCTATCTTCAATATTATAGTTGTAGGAAGAACCCGAGAAAAACTTAAATTTTTTTCAATATTCCAAAAATCAGTTTCCACCCGACATAAGACTACGCCTTTCTTTTAAACGTTCTTTAGACTATCCAACAACAAAATTTAATCAAAATCGATGCCACCACTTTTTGAAAATAACCCAGAGGCATCATTTCAAGTACCTCCCAAAATTAAAATATCGATTTCAAATTCAAGTGGCCGCAACGTCAGTGAGATCGTTCAGTGAATATCAACTTTGGAGAAAATAGGCTGAACAGATAAGCTGCTAGCGTTGTTCGCAGACAAATGGACAAAGACATTTTGCCGTCAATCGATTTTCCAGTATCAAGGACCCACAAAACATGTATTCTGGCCACATCATGTATTAGAGGATTTTTTTCTAAATTGAGCAACTGGATTTATCCACATTTTTGTTACCAGGCCCTGTAATAAAAGTTTTTCTGTCAAAACTTCGGGTTTTTACTAGTTTCTCTCATCGTTAATACTTACTTTAGCGAAAATTTGTTCATATTATTGTATTTATAATTATATGTGCTTTAAATAATGTCATTTAAAGTTTCTAGAAAACTCGACAGTTTTCTGTGAAAATGAGCTCAACATTCTGCATTTTGGGAAATTCTCAAAAGCAATTTTCTCAAAAACGACAACCATTTTTTTCTTCGAACTTTTTCAATGAATAGTGCTAATAGACTTGACTGTTTAATATGGCGTAAAGTGAATTTCGATGTATTATTTTGACTCTTTTTAAAATTACACAAATGTAATTTTTTTAAACATCTCTCACGTTGTTCGTTGTTCTCAGAGAGCTGGAAGTAGTAGTAGTTATAGTAGTAGTATTGTATTAGTAGTAGTAGAATTATAGTGTAGTAGTAGTAGTGTTGTAGTAGTACCTTTACCTATCTACGGTTGAAATACAAACGCTACATTCAAATTGCGCGGTCAGTACCCTCTGCAACAGGTTGGAAATCCCTTTTTATACATATTCTTAGATAATTGAATTGTAGTGTCCGTGCCGACCTACGCTGTAGGGAGCAACGGAAGAAGGCCAGAGGTCTTGGAGACGTGAGACGGGAAGGTCGAAAAAGTGTGTTATTGAGGAGAGGTGGTGTGAACAAGGACGAGAAGCGGACACTGAAGCTGCTGCGCCCAGGTTTACGGGCGTCCGTTTTCTTACACTACATTGCCGTGCAAGAATCCAGATCTGCGCGGAGACTTATATTCTGCGTCACCAGCCCACTGACCGTCGCAAGCTTCGCGGCGTTGGGTGGAGGAAAGGCCCCTAGAAGAGGTAGGTAATAATCGTCTTTCCTTTATTTTTCTCCGTATCTTTCGCTAAGAACTTGCCATGCGAGAAGCATTAAGGTTGCCCAATTCGCTAAGACGTAGGAGGCTCTTCACAGTATTTCCATAATGCCCCAAGCCACTCCTATAATGAGTATGTGCAGTGAATGCGTGTCATGACATCCTCCACTGTAAATGGCGGTCATTATACCTTGCATAAGTAAAAAGGAAATGCAGAGAGCAACAAGCCCGCATTTAAGTGAATGTTCTCACGAGTGCTCAGAAAGTGCATGTAACTTGAACTTTACAAACTGTTCTTGATGCTCCCTTTATATTGTCGTCAAAGTATTAAAAATTGTATCATTGTATTTGAATTTGTTAAGTTTTTTCTTCAAGAAAGTACAGAAACTGCGCTAGATTGTTTTCTGTTATTGTACAAAGGGTAATTTTTTATATGTATTTGGGTTGGGAAATTTTCTTGGTGCATAATTCCTTTTATAAGACGAAAAAAAGATATTCACGATTCTATGTATTAAAAAAACCAGATTTCGTGCTTTTTTTGTCTGTTGATTATGAACAGGTCACAGTTCTGAATTTCTAACATTTACAAGTAGAGTAAATAAAGTAAGAAATGGTTTTGAAACATTTTTTGAATTATGAGAATTTATTGAATTTAAGGAAATTTTAAGTAATTGTTAGAGTTTGGTGAAAAAATCGACATAATACATTGTATGTGTTGACCCATAACATAATGTTTAAACCAATTAAAAATCCTTTTTTAAGTTAGTTATTACAACACGATGGACACCGTACGTAATTGTAGTGTTCTTGCCAACATAAACAATGATTTTATTGTGTTGTGAAATTAAAATCATATTCCACTAAAATACAAATTATATTGATTATTATACAAATTATACAAATTATATTAATTATATTGAGTTACTTGCCTGTGGAAAGAAGGAGTCCTGTTCCCAGCCACGGCTCTAGAAGTTTGTTGTAGAAGAAGCTCTTGGATAAATATTTGTAGTCGGAAAGAAACTTCTGAAATTTAGAAAGCAAATAAAAATATATCATTGTAAATTGATGTAGGTCAAATACTTACTGAAGAAACCATGTTTACAAATATATTTTATTACTAATATAATCATTATTTATTAACCTTTATTTTCTTTTACCTTAAGGACAAATACACAGGTTATACATGACCAAAGTGTATTTATCAACGACTCTTTGTTAGGAATCCACATCTACTCTACCTCCTTAAATTATTATTGTTATTATTTATATTATTCACAGTATACTGGTCAATATGCCAACCACACACAGCAATGATGACCAGGTGTATGGTTCTTTACTGAAGGTTCAGATGGCTTCTGACAATACGGCATGTATTCAAAATTACCGACTTTTGCATATTCACATTCCTGACATCCATGTGAAGATACTCCAGTGCCCGAAGTGTCATTTTCGGGATCACTCCCGTAGCTGATATTATTATAGGTACAGTTGTCACTTTACTGAAGTTCCACTGATTTGCGACTTCATGGGCGAGATCGATATACTTCTTCGATCTTCTCTTTGGATGTTTTCCCGATATGTTGTGGGTATTGGGCATTGATATATCGAAAAGGAAAACCTGCTGATGGTATCTATCAATGTAAGTTATATCGGGTCTATTGCCGCCGACATGTCTGTCAGTGATAATGGAGCGATCCAGTGTGGGTGTGCTCATACTTTCAAGCACATTCTGAGGCACATTATTTATAATAGGCACGGGAAGTGGGAGTAAGCCCGTTCGTAAATGCAAAAATTGTGGACTTGCTTGCGCTCAATCATAAGCTTTTTGTATTCCAGACTGTGCAATGGCGCTACATGCACTTGTCACGTGTTGATAGTTTCGCTTGCAGCCTCACTCTTCTACACGAGTCGGAATGAATGGTCAGCATCATTCGTCAGAATGTGTTTTCTGTAGTTTCAATGTGGCACTCCTTGGTCCTGGATAGCTATGCATGAAGCTTTGTTCTCCGGAATAG